TTAAATATTTATCTTATAGAATATATATAATAGAACTATATGCAACCTTTGTAGGTTTCAATTTTAAACGGAACTTCCTATATTTCTTAACGAGCTATCGCTCCTTTAATCAAAACAATCAAAAGTTTATTGAATTGATTTATAACTGTTACAGTCTTTAATTTACCAAGGGAGAATGTCGTAAGCTCTACGTGTGATCGTCTATTGTATGTTGTCTATGGGGTATGTGAGGAACACCTGCTGAAGCTTTCGAAGAACACCTGCGAAAAAAAACAAAAAAATTTGACGCACTAATTGCTCGTATATGAAAAAAAAATACATATATATATATGTATATATAAAAAAATATTTGAAAAAAAATCATTGGGACACATTGATTGGCCATTCGGATGGGGATGTCAAGATTAGACTACAAGTGTTTTGCACTTTTCTTATAGTGCTCTATATATAACGATGGGGCGATTACCGTAGCTAACTCGAGAGCATGATATAAATTATAAGCGAAATTATCAATCTAAATATAATTTGTGCAAATTGCTAAGCCTAATCTCTGGTTAGATGATTTATATGGGCTTTGTTCCACATGGATTAGCTGGGCTTTGGACATAAACCCCAACTGCATCTACTTAGTGTATGTCTTGGCTATAAAAGCCATGAGCCTTAGCCATTTACCAATTAGCTAAAAAGCCAAACAATGAAGTTGAGTGTGGTTTGTTTTGTTACCCTTTTGGCCTGTGCATCGGCCTATGAGGTGGACCTCTTGACCGAGGATGAGTTTAATCAACTTGCCGATCCTAATCGTAAGCTAAATTAGAATTTGAAGAGTTTTACAATTTATTATCAACTGATTGAATCTCTCCGCCTCTGCCGATGTTCAGCCCAAAACCCAGAAGTGCATGGCCTGATATTGAATTCGCAGGCCAAGAAGGCCGTGAAGAATTTGATGGAACATCTGCCCTGTGGTTTTCCTGAATACGGAATTCCTCCATTGGCGCCCTACACCAATGCTGATCTAAATATTCATTTGGCTGAATCGGTTGTTGAGTGAGTTCTCAGATGATTGCAACTTGTAGGACTTCTCTTCAATTTGGTTTATTGTTGTACCAGTTCCTTGCTGCAGTTTCTGCGCTTCCGTTTCGATGGCTTGGATACCATGGAGATCAAGAAGCTAAAGGTCAGCTACACCTTCAACAAGAAGGTTCAGTTCCATTTCAAGTTCAAGGAGCTAAAGGCCAGCGCTCACTTCCTGAACAGCGACACATTGATCGATTTGCTGCAGGAGCTGGGCCTCTCGGTGCGCTACGAGGGCAGTGGACCACTTGCCTTTAGCCTGGAGGATCTAACGATTCAGGGCTCGTTCAAGTACAAGATGCCCTTTGTCTTTGGCTCGATTAAGATCTACAATTTCGAGTGTGTCGTTTCTCTGGGCGGTGTCAACTCCCACATTGGCGGCATTTTGGGCAATGGACGCATCAATGAGATGATCAACGATATTGTGGATTATCAGGTGCCCGCGTTCATCAATGGACACCAGAAGGAGATCAGTGCACGTATTGAGGCATTCTTTGTGCCTTTGGTCAATGAACGTCTGAAGGGTCATAAGGTCTGGTTCCTGCTGAAGCAACTCACCAATACCACCAAGAAATGTAATCCTACACCCGCTCCTTGGCTGGCCATCCAGTGAGCCAGAGCCACAAATCAAGCAAATCAAGTAAATCAATAAATCAGATGTAGCCTTTCAACGATATGCGACTTTAATTAGCTATGTGGGGTAGCTCTCTCTAGATTGTGCCTATCAAGCATTATCATGCTACAAAACTCTTATCACTCACGCGTGTAGCTATAAAAGCTGCCATCGGTGTTGGCTGACCAATCAGTTGCAGGTTGAGTTTCATTCGAAGACATTCAGCATGCGTTTTCTAATTGTTTTGGCCGGTCTGGTCGCCATTTGTGCTGCGGGCACATTGCCCAAAGAACAGTTCCAACATCCGCTCGAGCAGCGCCTGCTGCAGCTCGCCGATCCGAATGGCGATATCGAGCTATTCAATGAGCCCGAAGGTGAGCGTTGATCTGACCCGAATGACCTAGTCGAAGTTGAGACAATTCTGAATTTATACTTATTTCAATTAGCTGTAGCTACTCCACGCTTTGTGATCTCGTGGCAAGTGCGTCGCATGATCCGCAAACTGCAAAAGCAAATGCCCTGTGGATGGCCCAATCTGGGCATTCCCCCATTGGCGCCAGTGCGTGTGACCGAGGCGAATTTGGACTTGAAGCGCGGCATTGTCGACACGATCAATCACATCTTCCATCTGAAGATCGCCGGTCTGGACGACTTCAAGATCATGCAGTTCAAGCTGAATGTGATCTCATCAAAGATCACCTTCGATTTTCTGTTCAACAACATTGATACAACAGCGCAGAAGTACGAGACCGATACGCTGATCGATGCACTGCGTCAGCTGGGTCTCTCTGTGGAATATGAGGGTGATGGCTCCATTCTCTTCGATTTGATCAATTTGCGTATCAGCGGCACTCTGAAGTACAAGCTGCCAGTGCTGTGGGGCTCCGCCAAGATCCTTTCGCTGAAGACCAACATTGAGCTGGGCGCCGTCGATTCTGATATTAGCGGCTTCATGGGCAATGGCAAGATCAATACGGTTATTAATCGCCAGCTGGAGAATCTGCTCGTGAAGGTCATCAACAATAATCAGGAATCGATTTCCGATATCATTGAGGATGCGATTGTGCCACGTGTCAACCAGGTGCTTAAGGGCAACGACTTCTGGACTTTGGTCGATTTGATTTTCTCCAGCAGCGATGGTGAAAACGAGGATGATCCAATTGTGGTCGACTGTGTGCCACCAGCAGATCCCTGGGCTTAAATTACAAATGATATTCTAGCTTGAGCAAAAGACGATTGCTTCAATAAAGCTTTTAGATTTCTTTTGATAGAATTCTTTGATTTTTTCTATAGATTTGATGAAATAAAGGGCTGGGGAAGCTACTGGGGCATATCATATTTTTTAAAATATTTGTTATTTATTATTTTGTAGTTATTTTATTTCAAATTTAAAATTTACTTCCTTTTAATATATATTTCATTCGCGATTATCACTGCCTTGGCTTGCCCTATATGTACACAGTACACCCTACTCTTCCGTGTCCTCTTAATAAATCTTGTAAGCCATAAGACCGCTGCCTACTTTCAGGCATTCTCTCCCCAATTTTATCGACACTTTAAACACCTGTTCTTGTTCGTGCAATCTAATCAGCAAGCAATAGATTTCTCTATCTGCTGCTGATTTTCGCACCTGGCAGCTGCCACTGGTTTACACTTTAGTCAATCGAAAGCTTTCGAAATGCGCAGCTTGTTTCTAGTGCTGATTGCCTTGCTCGGCTGCTCCTTGAGCTCGGGCCGCGTTCTCTTTGACGATGAGCTGCGTGAGTTGACGGAGTTTTTGCGCTTGCAAATGCAGTGTGGGTATCCGGCCAAGGGCATACCCGTCCTGGCGCCCGCTCAGCTGTCCTACAAGGAGGTGGACATTCAAGCGGATGCATTTAGGTAAGCTCACGAGCCAAGCAGAGGCAGCAGCTACAGTTTCTCTACTCTCCCTTTGCAGTGGGCGTGGCAACTTTACGAACATCTCCATTGTGGGTCTCGATAGCTTCGAGTTCTCTCAGCTGCAGTGGAATAATATATTTCATACCATCAAATTCGATGTAAGCTTTCCCAGCATTCGCTTGACGGCCGAGAACTACAAGTTCGATCTGAGGCGCTTCCTTGGCGCGACTGCCTCGAATAAGTGCGACGGTGTCTTCGATGTGGAATTAATTGATGTACGGGCCAATGGCAGCTTCGTGCTGCGTCCCTCGAGTCTAACGAATGGCATTCATGTCACTCGCTGGAATGTCGACTGGCAGCTGGGAAATGCCATCTCTCAGATCACCGGCACTGGCAGCAAATATCTGGAAAAGATTATCAATTACATCCTTCAGGACTTTCTGCAGTTGCTCATCAATGACAATCCTGAAGAGATCTCACAGTTTATGGAGCAACTGCTTGTCGCGCCACTGAATACGGTGTTTGGTAATGTGGCCTGGTATGAAATAACTGCGATCATCTTGGGTCTGGTCAATGGTGTATTGCCCGTCGAGCCCATTTGTTGAAGAGCCTATTCAAGCTAATTTCACAATGACTAAAATAAAGTGCTGATAATCTTTTGTTGGTCTTTAAAGTTTTTTGATTAATTTCTGGATATATTTGTGCTGATTTGGGACGTGGCAAAAAGACTTTATCTCTTATATTTTTTGCTAAATCTAAAGGGGGTGTGGCATGACTATTCTGCAGTCGAATGTTCCCGATTGTAGCATTTTTTATCGATTTTATGTTATAATTACAGTAGAATCCGGGTATAACGACTCCGATTAAAGCGTCCAGGCGGTTATGTCGCCGAAAATTCGATGTCTTGGTTGGTCCCCACACAAACTTATCTGAAAGAGCCTCCGCTTAGTACGACGACAATCCGCTTATGCCGACGATTTTTCCAGATTTTTGAGTCAATCACCGGTTATTACGCCGTGATTAAAAAAAAACCCGAAATAATGACAACAAATTTCAACATGTATGTATTGATCAGTGATCAGTACCCTTGCTTGTGTGCGTAGCAACGCAACAAATGCTGCTAAGACATAGAGAGGGAGAGAGACAAAGTACAATGCCGACGTCACAAAAATGTTTCTAAACCATGTTATTAATTAATAAGTTTATAAAAAATGGTTGTTTTGATTACAAAATTTAAATTGTTTTATAGTAAAAGCTACTACAAACATGGCAACCGTAAAAAATATGTAAAAAAATATTTTTTACTCTTTCTGGTTAAAGCGTCCTCCGGGTATAGCGACGTAAAATCGACGGTCCCTTGAGTGTCGCTATAACCGGATTCTACTGTATATGCTTAACACGTTTTAAATGTAATTTACATTCTGTTATACAATATTAACATATTTCCATATATCAATTTTAGGAATTACCTTATATTTTTAAATTCGATTATTCTCTTTACTGACTATTGTGAATATTCCCACTAGTGAAGAAAACTGAAATTGAGTAAAAATATTTTTACTCAAATTTCTTTACAAGTTACCAATTACTACAAAATTCGGTTACTTAAATTGCTTTACCCATGAATCAGTATTCTGTAATTTGTCTCGACTTTATACTCACTAATCTATAATTTTCTATCTCTATTTGCAGGTAATTACGATTAGATTTGAATTAAACAAAAAATGTGTATAGACCATTTATATATATTTTGTGTAAGTATAGAAATAAGTAGTCTTATCAATTTATGGCACAAACTTGCAAATCGCTCTAATCGTTTCAACCATAAATTATGTCTATAATACGAAAGCAAAGGCTAGACGAGGCTGGCCCAGGCACCAATAGCAATTGGGAAGAAGAGAAATGAAAATCCATAATCGGATTTGGCGAGAGTCGTCAGCGGGATATCTCAATTCGTCGTTTGTCGGACGGCGAGAGTTCAAACCAATGTATGAGGCTGCTGCCACGCAGCAGGACAACCAACGGGTGGTCCTCGAATGGCTCAACACTTCCTCAACCTCAAAATGTGCTCGAAACACCCGTTCCAAAATTGCAGCAGATGTTTTAGGTTTACTTTTTTTCTGTTGCTCTACCACTAGATATTTGATTTTTTTGTCAACTATCTATTTTTTTTTGTTGCTGCTCTTGTAATATCATTATTTGTTTGTTAATTAGTGGAGAGAAAGAGGGAGAGAGAGGGAGCAGTGAAGCGATTTGGTTTATATTCATATGGCTGCTGATTTCTTTTAGCATTCGTTGTGGCTCATTTCATTTGCAATTTATGAGTCCTTACGGCGACGCACACCTTGCGCACGCAAAAGGAGCTGACCGAGCACACACACATAGAGAAAATGTCCTTTCATAAGTAGTACGTGCTCTCGGCCATCCTGCGGCGTTTGCATTGTCCGCAAACGCAGTTTTACGAGCTAAGGAACAGCCTGCGCTTTGTTTATTGTCTCGTTGATTGCGATTGTGTCCTTGTTCCCCATTCAGTCGATGCCTTGAACATTTGCACTACTTTGGCCAACAAAGTTTCGCTTTTTTCTTCTTCTATGTATTTCTTTCTATTTTATGTTCATTTTGTTGACATTTACGATGCAATTTTCGAAAAGCCCTTAAATCATAGCTGGGTCCTCGGTCAATACTTTCCCTATGCAGTTTGACCCTCTTCCATTGCCTGGAGTGCCGATTTCGCTTGGCCCAGTTTGATTAGCCTCAATTTCAACCGCAATTCGTTTTCGGTATGCTGCACAGATTTGCATGTGCTGAGATTCTGGGTTTATGAGTCCAAAGTATCTAGATCATGCTTGTCAGTGGGGAAGAGTTATATATATATTGGCTGCTTCGCCTGTTGTTGAGGCTGTTGTGTCTTGTCATGATCATTTATTTTCACCTATTCAATATATACATTTGTAAATTAATTATATACTATAAATTATATGAATATGTATTATTTATAAATTATATTATATATGAATTATACGAATATGTTTTATTTTGAAATTAGTTATATATGAAATTAATTATTAAAAATAATTTGTAGAAAAATATTTATATTTCATATACAAACTCATTAGATCTTTTAGATTTTAACATTGACACATTATTTTTAATTTGAGCAGAATATAACTTTAATTATAATTATTTAAATTTCTTATATGGTATCCCATATTATTCGCTATCACTATTTTTAATTTGCATACAGAATTTATTCATCAACTCAACAATGTGAAAATTTTATTGGTTTTAATAAAAAATTGAATACATTTTTTTCAAAATTTGTTTATATGCAAAAGCAATTTAAATTTAAATTAAAAAAAGAAACATTTTAAATTTAAATAAAAAATTGTTTTTTTTTTTTTAATTTAAACTAAAAAAATGTTTGTTTAATGTTGGAATTGTTTGTATTTATATTAAGTTCTACGAGGGATATCTTCAAATATATATTTTTAGGATACACAAAATGTAATTCTGTTAAATATTTAGTCTATTATTAATGTTAATACCACTAAAATCAAAGTTGATATCGTTTTGATTTCTTTTAAATTAAAGAACTATTTTCTAGCCCCTAACTACTCTTAATTGTGTTTCCCACAGTTTTGTTTAGCCTCAAGCTTTTGCTTGTCAAAAACATTCCACAAATTACTTCAATAAACCGCAACATTCCCTTTTAGTTTTTACTTTAGCTTAACAAGAAACTTTCTGCTCCCTTTGTCTACCCTTAATACCTCTTTTAAACGCAGCCACCACAGAGCTTTAATTGCCTCTGGCTATAGCTGTACCTCCTTCGTCCTTACTGCTCCTTCTTAACAGGAACGCCGAGCAGAGGCTTGCAGTTAATTGAAAAGTTTATGCGGCTTTTGCCTTTTGGCTTACAGTTGGCAAGACGCAAATATTTGCATGTTCCAGTAATACTTGAGAGCAACTAGTACTACATAATAAAACCCAAAGGGGGCGGAGTAGGGCTATCAAAAAAAAAAAAAAAAAAATAAATAAAATGAGAAAATGTAAAAGAAAAGGGGTTGCGTATGTCATTTGAGAATTTATGACAGGCGGCACTTGAGCGCGGAATTGTTAAGCACGAGAATTAAGATTCATTAGCGGAGCTCAAAGGAGAGATAGAGATGCAGAGAGAGGGAGAGACAGACAGAGATAGTACAGCAGATAACCCTTGCTTACACAATGGCCGTCTGCTGCACATAAATCAAAAGTTTTTGGCAAAAAGTCCTGATACGCAGATAGGCGGAAATCGAGGGCATGTTGTGTTGCCTAGGAGTCTCTTAAAGGGGTTTCCCTTTCGGCTCCACTCGGTGTTTGTTTATTCAAGGATCCCTTTTTATTTGCTTGTT